ATCCAACGTGCCATGGTCAACGACCGGAATGGTCCATGGATCGAATTCAAACAGGTCAAGGATGCGAAAATATCGGTCATGTAATGGCCACTGTCTGGGCAGGCACCTCGATGCAATACTGTCGAGACCACATGGTAGCTATGCCAGGTAGTGACAAGGCCGGAGGAATGATCGAAGACCGGGAATAAGACCCCAATTCGAAAGGATCCTTGATATTCCATTATGGACAAAAGGCATTTCTGCCAACCAGAGTGTGGACAGCCAAGGGGGCTAGAACCAAATAATTGTTGTCTGAATCAGCCAACAAACTCTGCAACGTCTTGTTACGCTATACGCTCCCGCCGGAATGAATATTAAAAAATAATTGGCCAAGGTAGATTTTGAATAAAATTTAGTTGATTATAAATTAATTGATTGTTTAATCATTGATAGATTGTAAGAATATTTATAATATTTCTCTTTGAATTGGTTTATTTTTATATTGATGTATATTGGATGTATACATATATGCGAAATACGAAGATTAATATTTTTTATTAAAATATCAAATTGTTATATTGAATATTTATATGTAGTTTGTTGCGCCCCAAAAAGTTGTTTGTTTTAGATTCAAATCTTAACATTACATATTTGTATGGTTCCAATACCTATAAAGATCTGGAAATAAATACAAATCGTATAGCCAAAGCATTTACAAGGACTTGGAAACAATGGGAGACAAATATTAAATCATGCGGCTACAAACGAATGGAAATAATGGAAAATATATGTAAATATCATACGGCTAGAACATCTACAATCTACAAGAAATTGGAAATAATGGAAGATAAATGATAAATAAATCATAACGGATTGAAATTATAGACAGATATAAATTCATGCAACCAGAACATCCACAAAAGATTGGAAATAGGGAAGACAAATAGGAGACAAATATAAAATCATACGATCCGAAATATCCATAACGAATTGGAAAAAACAAAACATAAATGGCAAAATCATGCAGTCAAAGCACCCCGCGGAGACTTCAGAATTAGCCATATACGCCCGCACACCCCGGCGATCTAAGCATATCTATCTAATCATTATTGTAAGAAATTCTAAGTATGCCCGTTCTATTAGATAAATCTATAATATATCTTTAAACAAAATCTTAAATATATCTATAATTATCGTATTTATAAATATTTTATTTGGAAAAAATGATATATAATTAATGATAAAAGAGGAATATATATATAGATATTTAAGAATATTATTATTAGTATATTATTTAGTATATTTTCGATGAAATGTATTTTATGAATAATTGATATTTATATTCTATTTGTTTTGGGGTGTCTTCTAATATGCATATTGTAACTAAAGATATTATTTTTAAATCCATTAAATAGTATCAAAAATCATCCGCACTTTTGATAATATTAATAATCTTTCGTGGTTGCATATGTTGCTTTCGCAGATCCATTTCATATAATAATCTCTTTAATTAACCATTTCGCCGAATTTCTGCTACTTACATCTAAGAAAACCAACAACAAAGGGGAATCATTCCTAATCTGCAATCATTGCTTTCACCACATCTTCGCGAACATCTTGCTTGATTATCAAGAATCGCTTAAATTAAAAATCTATTCGTCAACCCTTTCGCGACAAAATCCATTCATCAAAATTCAAAGTTTTTCTCCAAATATTCACCAATTGTAATTTTCTGTCGCAAAGATTCATTTCAGGAAAGAGATGTACGAAAGGTAGGATAACGGGAGGAGAATAGAAATTTATACAATATGCAATATTTTTAAGAATGTGGGTCAAAAACAAAAATTAAAAAAAAATATATATATATGTATCTATTTATAATTAGATAGTAATTCCAAACGACGAAATATTAAAGTAATATTTTATATTTCTTCAAAAGTTCAAATATTGCTCCAAAATTAGAAAAATCAACATCAAATATTCATCAAGGTAATCCGTTTCGGGAAAAAGCGGTCAAGGGGGAGCGGGATATATTAATAAATCAATTCCGCGGAGGGAAAGAGGCGATCTGTATTAAGAAATTACTTAATTCGAAAGGAGGTTTCAATTAATTTATCAATTATTAAATCCATAATTCGCAATTTTACCTATTATCTCTCATACAAAAAATAAATAACACATATACAATTATAAATATGTCATTATCCGAAACACACAACGACAACCACACAACCATAAATATATAACTTCAAACACACAATTACAAACACACTACTATCAAACACACACAACTACAAACATACTATCATAAACTCACAACCACAAATACACCACGACAAATACACAATCACAAACAAAATCGGAAACCACAAAACCCATAACCATAATGACATATTCCTCACCATAGCGACAAGTTTAAAATAACATAATAAGAATACATCGAGATATATTCAATATTATCCATTTAATATTGATCTATGTATTTTTTGTATCCAAATAGAATTTATAAAAATATACCATTATAATTTCAAATATCAAAAGAAATAAACAGAAAATAGATAATTAAAAACCAATATCAAAACTAATAATCTATTATATATAAAAATATATTCAATTAATCTTCCAAAATATATCATCCGAATTCCACCTAATTACCATAAATATCAAAAATAATCTATCAATATTATAGCAATATTATATATATAAAAAATCCAACCAAAATCAAAATAATCAACCAATTAAAAGAAAGACACTATATATGATTATTTGAAACATCAAAAACATATTGTATATATGGATTAATTATAGTTAAAATATATTTCATGAATTTTCAATAAAAATAGATATATGATAACATAAATATCAAATATTATAACATCAATTAAAAAATAATTGGTGCCTTCGAGGGATCCCCGTATTAATATATCGCAAAATAATTTAGATAATATCCGTTTCGATATTTTTCAAGATTCTTTCCACATCATTTTCAATATTTATTCAATATATCAACATTCGCTGGAATAATTTTCAATAGATTTTAATTACATAAATAAATAAAATATCTATATGTCTACATGACAACGAGAATATTTTATTTCTAAAAAATAATGTATAAATATATCAAGAAATATTTCGTCAAAAATTATCTGAGATTCAAAAATAATATTTACAAGAAGCAAAAAATATATCCGTTTTTATTATCTATATTTTACATAATATATATATTTTCAATTTCTTTGTCAACGATCCAAACCCCCCGGCATGACCAAATATATATTCTATTCCATTTCAAATATTCCAATAATCCATAAAATCATTAAAATAATTCCTTAAGATACCACGCATAACAATTATATAGAATATCCAATGTATATCAATCATATCTAAATATCAATCTATCAAATACTATATATTTATATTTAATCTTTGAATATATATATATAATTTTGATTTTAGATTTGGAATCATTCCAGATCGATCAATGGGCAATTCTGGATTGTCCCTGCGACAAATTAATCAATATATTCAAGAACGGAACCGTTTTTAGTGGATTGAACATATGTATGCGTTCTTTTTCAAGATCGAACACAAATCGTCCAAATTCTTGAGCAAACACGAATTTTTGTTATAACATATCGCAACTCCAGAATATAGACAGTCATACGGGCCTCGCCAATGCCCACAAGGCTCCTGCTGCAATTTCTCACACTCGTGGCACCTGAAATGGTGCAATTAAATAGATGCATCCATTAATCTTGGCATGAATGATTCCAATCTGCCACGGATTTACATCGGAGGGTCCTTTTCATTCAACAATACGACCAATGGCTCCAAAGCACCAACCTACAATGCATTGTTATTTATCGACAAAATTTTTTAATTTCATTCATGAAATTCCTCGTCATTCTAAGCTTTGGTTTAGCCCGAAAATCATTCTTATCCGTTCTATTATCAATATTTTTTGGAACGATAGCCTACTAATATATATATATATATTCTATATTGTGTAAAGAATTAATTTAAATTTCAATCAATATAAATATATATTTCACTATGAATCCATCTATTCAAATTCGATTTATAAATAATAACATTCCTTTATTCTTCAATAATCATATTTCCTCAATAATCAAACATAAAAATTAGAAATACAAAAATATATCTATTTGTCTTAATATCAACTAATTTGTTTGATTAGGAAAACATCAATTGAATTGTGTTTTTTGTTGTGTGGGGCTTTTACATTGGGTCTGTACCTACGCGGGTGCCTACGTCTGGGTTCCCCTCTCAAACAAATGCCTACGCGAGAGATTCTCTTTATTAGGTGCCTTTGCGGGATACCTATGCAGGATATTATCACCAACTTTAGTCATATCAGATGACTCGAGAAGAGCTATATAATCCGCAACAGACAAACAGCACTACAAGCAACAAACAAGCAGCAGAAAACAAAAGGCAGCAACAACAACAGATGCAGCGGCCAAGCAGTAGCAGCAACCAATAGCTTCTTGCCTACGCGTTGCTTCCGCGTGCGCCTACGCGGGGCCTACGCGAAAATAGGTCTGTTGTTGGTGACCAAAGAGTTTAGCCGGCTGCTCACATGGTATAAACGTCGGGCAATGCAGAATTCAATTTGTTCCATCGATTATAATACCAAGAGGGTGTGCCCACTTGGGGCTCAAGAGCCGGTGTGCCAGGCCAAACATCTTCAAACTTTTGACCTCAAAAATCAATGTGCCCCCATAGTTTCGACAAACAAACTTCTAACATCCATTGTAGCCATGCCATTACAACTCATTTTCCTTGTATTCCCATTCGAATTTGCAAGCAAATGTCAAATTAAACATCTACAATCCAACATTATCTTT